CCGGCCCTCGGCGACTACCTGGACAAGCTTTAAACTGGGAGTCAGAGGAAGTAGACTGATAGTTCCACGACGCCCGATTAGTGCTCGGGCAGTTGCGCTGAAGTGAAAATCCCCAGCAGGGAATGATAATGTAGTGTACTGCTCTCGCCATGAACCAGAGAACTACGATTGTTTCGAAAATGTTCGGAGCAGCGAGGTGGTTTAACATTGTCTCACCTGTCTAGTCTTCCTAGTTCCATCCATGCCTCCATCGATACATTCATCCCTCCATCCATCCAGCCATTCATCCGTATGTCTGTCCGTTTGTCCGTCCGTGCATCCATCCATCTCTCCACCCAACCTTGTATATACCCGTCTAGAAGCTGTGCCATGAGCCTAGCTACGAACAACCCCTTTGCAAAACCTCTCCCCTTCCATAATCCCTGCAAGAAAAGGAAGGTCCTACAAACCCTCAGCTTCTTTATCAATCCGTCTGTAAAAGGCTTCTAACTGCTCGACCCACCCTCACCCCGAGCCCCCTTTCACTGATGGATCCCCAAAATGGTTAGCGTTTCGATTGCTTCGATCCGTCAGGGCACAAGTTCGAATTATGGCGGCCCTGACGACCCTCCTCAACCCGCGTTTGCGGCCTGTATCAAATCCACGTTTGGCGGGCGCGCGTGTGGCATTTACGGATTTTTCACAGATTTTGCCTTCAGGGTCAAAAAACATCTGTGGGGTGGGGTTTTGCTTCTAGATGCCGGCAGGGTTTCCAAGGTTTCCAAGGACTCGCAGGTCGCAGAAGGGGAGAAACCCACAGGAACAAAAATGCCATGCCCGCAGTTTACGTTGCGCTTGCCGACACCGAAGGATAGGAACACGACGGGTGAACCGAGGTCGTTGTCATTTCCGAACATGAATCGTCACGGCATCAAGCGCGCAGACTCCTCCCCCTCCTCCTCCGCCTCCTCTGCTGCTGCTGACTACTACTATCTACTGCTTCAAATCCTGCTGTTTCTGTGACTTGTTATGCATCAATGTCCTCTTGCATGATGTCTTCATGTTTGTTATGTTTCATTTGGGTGGTTGATGTCTTCGCTACCTTTCCGGTTAATCTTTCGCCAAATGTTCTTGCTATGCCAAAGTTTAAATTGTCTCGAGACTTCCGGCTGCCAGTGCATTTCATTTCGTGTTGTCTGTCTGTGGATTACTTCGCGCTTATCTTCATGGTTCGTAGAGATATCATCCTGCCTCGTGTGTTGTGTAGCTAAAAGCTTGAATACAGCGAGCACAGTGACACCGTACGGCTTGTTGGTGTTTTATTTGTGTCTTCTCCTCCTCTTCGCTGTTACGATGCCAGCACTGGTTTGCAGCAATCTTAAGTGGTGCTCGCTCTCATCTGGATGTTGTCCCGACTTGGCGATTCTATTCCCGTAAACCCGGGCATGCTTCTTGTGCTGATGATTCTCCTTGGCTATCGGACGTCTCATGATTCGCACCAGTCACGTTGCAATGATGTCATCCTGACCAATGATTTGAGCCTCGCAGAACCATATGCCGGTCGAGAAGAACTGGAGAGAATCATCCGAAGTCCAGTCAGCGCGTGGTCTGAGGAGATCTACTGTGCGGGATGCTGGTCAACAACGGTCAACAACGAACGAGGCTTAGCACCGGAAGTCGATGGAACAGAAGTGGTCAGGTAAAGAATCGGGGTCATTGTTGAGAAGCGCCAGTCCACGGATGTCTGCATCGGAAAATCTCTCCGGGTAGCCGATTGCGTCCGCAGCCACAGGGCTCGTTATCTGAGACCGTGCCTATCTGCGCCTTTTAGGCCAGGATGACCTCGCACCAAGAAGGCAGATTGAAGGCCATTGTGGCAAGTTTCCCGCCGCCCAATGAAGGCTTCGAAGGTCCAAGCTCCATGCCGGGTCCAGTACTTGTACACCAGCCGGCTGCGAGTTGGGGGAGCTTGGGCCACCCCGGGCTTTGCCACCGCCCTTGTGTGTACTTACTGAAGGGGAGCGTGTGTCGGCAAGGTGTTTCGTGCCAGTTCTGCCACCACGGCCAGCACTCTCCCATTCCGAAGTTGGACCAGGAACAGAGGGCTCGAGTACAAAGTCTGAGCGAAGAGGACTTGGTTTCCCTGCTGATCCCACACATCCGGGAGCAGGGGCGAGCGGCTGGGCTACTTGAGCAGGTCGAAGACTTCATCTGCATGCTCGACAAGAAGTTTTTTCCAGACAGGGAGCACAACAACGACAACATCCGAATGATACCTCGCAAAGAGTTGTACCGGCTCAAGAAGACGCCTTGTCATCACTGGGAAGTCTTTTTGTTTGGGTTGCTTTGCAGCGTTAGAACTCCCATTGATTGTATCGGGTACGGCGAAGTCAGGAAATTGCGTGGTATGAATCTGACGGCATTGGTGACTCTCTTGCCGGGAGAGGGGTTATCCAAAAGCTTCCAGGAGCTTCGGCTTTCAGCTGCAGGGCTCGGGCCTGAGTTGTGAGCTTTAACAATTTTGAGCCTGCGCTTGTCACGACCTCGGAGACTTATGCCCGCAATGCTTCGCACGATCAGGTCAGCGAAGTTTGAGCTCTGAAGGAAGTTTTGTGAATGCTTTCTTCGGCCCCTTCGGGTCGTTCTTTAGAAAATCCTGAAAACAAGGATCTTCTGGGCGTTGCGAGGTATTCGGAATGTTGAAATCGTCAAGTTGCCATTTGTGGGTTCTACCCGCACGCCTTCGTTCCTCAGCATCTCATGCCAGTAAGCAGCAGCAGAGTCAAGGCACACACGTTCCCCTGAACTGCTGGGGCTGGATGCTTCACTGCATGCGTAGGCTCTTCGGACTTGGCCGTACTAGCAGTGCACAGCTCTCTCCCAGACGATTATGTATGCGGGTTGAAGCATCCAGAACGAACAGCAGTCAGGATTTTGAGTGATCTGGCAGTGCTGTTTGAGGCCGTGAGAGAGAGAGAGAGAGAGCGGGTTTGTTTTCGGCTGCGGGTAGAATGATTTAGACTAACGGTATGCATCGGTTTGTTGTTCTCCCAGACTTGTCGGTGCATTCTGCTATCGGTCCTTGGACCCATTGCTTACTCCGTCCGGGCCCATGTGTTTTCGGACCAGGTGCACTGTTTTTATCTGAAGACTTGTACACCTGACCAGCCCGGAATTTGTCTTCGTTCAAGCTGGTCGATGCCCATCCCCTGTAAGTCTGTCGCTTGCCTCGTGTAACACGAGGCAGGCGACGGTTTGCTTGCGCTGATGCAGTGCGTCCTTCTTCCTGAGAGTCTGTAGAGCGGCTCCCTCTCGATTCTGTGTCAGTCCGATGCGTTTTGCAGGCCAGATGTGGAGGTTTGGTGTACAGACCTTGGCACTCAGAGCGCTGGAAGCAAGTTACGAAAAGAAATGGCATAGCCCGGTCTGTGGCAGCTGGCAGTGATCTCATCTAACCTGCCCTGGGCCGTCCCTTCTCAACCACCGCTACTATTCCTCCTCCTGCTGCTGCTGCTACTACTACTGCTACTACTACCCCTACTACTACTACTACTACTACTACTGGCCACCCCCCCTCCTACCAACCACCTGGCGCCTCAATCCACCACCATCATCGGTCATCATCATCCATCATCATCCTTCATCATGCATCATCATCATCATGATCACCATCATCAACCATCATCATAGAAGAGGGTCCGCCATCACGAAAGTACTGTAAATACCGAGTAAAACGGCTCTTGTGGAGATATTGTTCGGGGTGTCTGTGTACCAATGTCGCCAT